CTAGATCAGATTATGGTGTCTACAAGACCATTTGAATAATCAGAGAACTGCATAAATCCAATTATGATCGGATTATTGAGTGTGTTTACATGCGTTTAATAATCCGATAACTGCAGAAAATCAGATTTTGTCAGTAATCCGATCAGCATGTTTACATGCACTTGAGTAAGCAGATAACGGGGAAACTCCGGGTCTACATGAGTCAGACAGTAAACAGATTTCTACTCTGCAACCGGCTAACAAACTCACAGAAGAAGACGTGACGTAAATGTAACAAAAAACTTAACGCTTTTTTTTTTAAACATTGCGCCACTTTACCTGAAAATATGAACATACATCATCTAGAAGATGAAGAATATTTAAATCCTTCATTTCGTGTTTGGTTTCAACGCTGCTCCAGCAGTGTTTGGGTGCATCTCGTGACATCAATCATTTGATCTCACGCAGATTGAGAAATCCGATAGAAATCAGAGTACGAGTTTACATGCACTGAGAAATCTGATTACTGAGCTAAAATCCAGCTCTCTTTATCAGATGTCTTAATCGGATTTCTAGATCGGAGTGTGGTGATTTCATGATCATTTGAATAACGGGATAACTGCAGAAATCGATTATGATCTGATTATCGAGTGCATGTAAACACACTCACTGATTAAAGAATAAGGTATCAGATGTAGAATGCCACTCCACAGCCAGATGTATATGGACACCCCTTGTAATTAGAGGATTTGGCTAATCAGCCACACCCGTTTCTAATGTGTTGAAGTCAAGCAAAGAGCCATGCACTCTGTTCAAATGTCTAATCTAAATCGGTCTTCTCTGGACTTTAAGACAAGCAGACCTAACATTCACAGGGAAAGCAGTCTTCAGCAGACTTTGCAGAATCACTCTAAATTCATAGTGCAAGTCATTGTGAGAGTCTTCTTTCTTATTAGCACTCTTTAGAGGCCAGGAGACCCAACTATAAAGTTTAATGGAGGAGGAATAGTGATCTGAGGCTGTTCATCATGGTTTAGGCTCTTGGTTCCATTGAAGGGAAATCTTTATATTATACAGTGACATTCTAGAGAACCGTCACGGATGTAGATTCGGGTGTCCATATACTTCAGGCAGGCTTGTCCAGTTTTTCGAAAAAGCCCAGTCTGCGGGCTTTCTGTCCAACAAAGCATGAGCCCACCCTGATCGACTGTTTAATCATGTACAGTCAGGTGGATTGAAATGAAAATCTGCAGCCATACGGATACTTTGTGGATAAGATTGGACCGGAGGCCTGGCCACCCCACAGTTATACAAAGTGAGATAGTCAGCCTCAATCAGTAAAGCTGTCACAGGAAAAATGTTCCTTTCCTACTTATTCGGTGTAAATGTCTATACTGCGTTCAGACGAGTGAATGCTGGTCAAAACCATTAGTCTTGTTCATTTAGCTTAAAGAGGCAGCTATTGGACTTCTACATTATGGAAACACTTGATGTAGTTCAGTTATAACAGAAGTTTCGGGGGCACGAGCATGGCCGAAAGCCCTCCTTCCTCCAATCTAACGCCCTGTAAATTCACATCCTCACCTTCTGTTCCCATGATGAAGTGTTCACAATCCCCAAAGCCACCCCATCTCCCTGGCCTGGCCTGGCCTTCTAGCTACAGGCAGAAGCTGCCCAGAACTCCAGCCCAAGTTCTCAGAGTTCTCCCCCTCCCTCAATCAGTCTGCCTTCATACTACCACCACATGTTGAAGGCATGGTCTGACTCACAAAAAAGCACCTAAATAAATTTCCACATCAATATAGTGGAGTATTTATGTTTTGTTATACATCGTGCTGTGGATCACATGATTTTAACACACACACAGACACAATTTAGCAGTAGAAATAATGCAACGATCAATTTTAGCTGTTTTATTGTGATTAACCAGTTGATTAAAAAGTTGTTGTAGTAATCAAGGGCTAATATAAGCACAGCAGATCATAATTAACTGCTGTTTCATTTTGTTTTTTCCAAGTAATTTGCCACCCCACCAAAAATACTGGGTGTAACCTGGCCACCCCATTATAAACGTTCTGGCTACACCTCTGGATTGGACCTCACTGCTTTAGGTCATGTAGTGTGCATGCAAATGATTGAATAAGGGCTAAACTGGATTAGGGCATTTCCAATCCAGAAAGGAGTTACATGACAGTAATATTACTACAATCAAAGATTTCTCAAAGTACAGAAAATGGTGTTTCCTTTATAGCTGGTCAGCAATACTTAGATAAGTATAAGATCATATAAGATACTCAGCAATAGTTAGATAAACAAAACTGAATTTGCATTTTTTTTATTCTATTTCTCCACTAGCTGGCGCTCCTTCTATCACACAGTCTCATCTGGCATATCCTCCTCTTGGGCTTCTGGATATGGACAGCTGTGGTGTTGCTGGAATTCAAACTCACAACCTCCTGATGTTGGGATGAATTATCAGACAGCTGCACCACATGAGACGACGCCAGCCTTTATAGTTAAAACAACAAATATTCTCTCCAGTGTATTAAACATTTGTGGAAACAAAATCTGAGCTGTGTTCCTGAGTGGTGCAGTGGACTAAGCCGTCACCCCCACAGGAGGTTGTGAGTTTGAGCCCCAGCAGTGCCACAGCCATCCATAAGTACATACCCAAGAGGAAAAGATGTCAAGCAGGATTGTGTGAAAGAGTCCTGGCTGGTGGGGAAGTTGAGCATAAAAAAACAAGTTTATTTTATTTACTGACCTGAGATGCAGAACTTAAAAATTAAGAAAATTTTTGACTAAGAAGTTTGAGTTGTGTGAACTCTGGTGTCCTGAAGTTGAGTCAACTCAAGAAAAGCAATGTAATCAGTTACTGTATCATTTTGAGTTGAGCTGACCTCATTTTTAAATGTTTTTATGAAAATATTCATAGTCTGTAAATATTTCCAAGATACCAAGATACAGACAAAGAAGGTCTGAAGGTGAGACATCAAGATGAGGTTGTTAAGTCCTGTTGTGTCACAATCACTTGGCTATGGACCAACCAAAGTTCTGCATGTTCACATTAAGCATTAAGCAGCAGGAGTTCTGGAAAGTTCTTGATTACAGTGGGAGTGCACAGTGATTTCAGAGGACAGGCATGGCTCAAGTGGAGATGCATTTCCGTTCTGACAACTGAGATGAGAATATAGCAGTAGTCATTGTCTCTGTTGGACTGGAAGCAATATTTCTTGTTCCTCCCATGTTCATTGGACTGTGCAGTTATTTTCACTGGGGAGGAAGCCACCAGACTTTGCAAGATACAGCGCTGTATGAACAATCGCTGTTCTCTGTTCACTGAATCTAAGCAACAAGGTGGAAATCTGGGAGCGGGCCTTGGGGTGGAGTTCCCGCAGGCTGCCTTCACCGCACAGCAACCGTGAACTTCCAGGACTGGGGATGTCAGGTAAATGGCACATCTATGGAATATTAGTCCTTCCATCAGAGTCTTTTAATGAACCCTCTAGGCTAGTTTTTTTCATTTATACTAAGAATTAAAAACTATTAACATTTGACACAAATATAAACTTCATGTTCTTATATAAAGTACATTTTATTCCTCCCCTTCAATCTCTCTTCATTTCTAAGAGGCCTGCTGGAAGCTTTTGCAGTGCAGCTGCGTGGGAGGATAGATGATGAAGCCCAGTTGGGTGGAGTAAGCCGTATCTCATCCCGAGCATGGTGGAACATCACACTGCTGTTTCGCCATCAGGACATTCTGCATGAATGAGTCCTCCACAGGTTCCTCAGGGTTTATCACAGAGACATTCTACATTGTATTGTTTACCACAGGGACACAATACGTTGCAGTCCTGATCACTGGTCTTTTGCTCCACTGTGGGCCTTGTTTACTTCACCTCTCGGGGGGTGGACAGCCCCTAAAGGAAGGGACTAATGTTGAAAGAGGTCAGCTGAATAGGACAGATAAAGATAATGGAACTGAGGTTATAGTTGCTCATGGTGTTCCTGTAACAGTGATTGCATTCCAGCTCTGCAGAGACCCTAAAGAATCATGACTGGCAAGATTATTACTGTATATTGTTGTGAGACTTCACATGGCCAAAGAGGGAGAAAGGGAGAGGGTCTAGTCAATTTTGAACCTGATTTTTTGGAGAGTGGAATGACCTGATCTATTCTGGCATGTCCTCTGGTTTGCGGTTCAGGTTTAAGGGGTCTTGAGGGGACACGGCTAAGCCACTGACAAGTACATTATTAGCCCAATTACAATATAGGCCTACTGTAATTCTGCAGTCTCTGAATAGCATTCTAGTTGAGGAACAGGAGTGGCCAAAAATCACACAATGACCATACTCACCATCAACCTTATCATTTAGGCAGCTATTATTTATGCACTTGGAGCTTTTGCGAGAAGTTTGCATATAACAGTAGTGACACTGAAGTGGTGGTGGTGTGTTAGTGTGTGTTGTGCTGGTCTGAGTGGATCAGACACAGCAGTGCTGCTGGAGTTTTTGAACACCTCAGTGTCACTGCTGGACTGAGAACAGTCCACCAACCAAAAATATCCAGTCAGCAGTGTCCTGTGGGCAGCGTCCTGTGACCACTGATGAAGGACTAGAGGATGACCAACACAAACTGTGCAGCAGCAGATGAGCTATCGTCTCTGACTTTACATCTACAAGGTGGACTGACAAGGCAGGAGTGTCTAATAGAGTGGACAGTGAGTGGACACAGTGTTAAAAAACTCCAGCAGCACTGCTGTGTCTGATCCACTCAGACCAGCACAACACACACTAACACACCACCACGTCAGTGTTACTGCAGTGCCGAGAATGACCCACCACCCAAGTAATACCTGCTCTGTGAGGGTCCATGGGGGTCCTGACCGCTGAAGAACAGGGTAAAAGAGCGTAGGAACAAGGAGGTGGTCATAATGTTATGCCTGATCGGTGTAAATCCACTTATTCCTCCACAACAGTAAATGTCGCTGCTGAGTCGTTTATGCTCTCCTCTTAGTTCATGTTTTCCTTTGAAAAAGAGGCTCAGAGCTCTGGCTGGACTGACTTGGCTGGTCGAATTTCGAGAGTATGTAGACAAGCCTGTGTTATTATTTAACACTGTGGTGTTCAACGCTTTTTTCTGCCGTACTGTCTCGCTTGACCATATCGTCTGACCAACAGTATGTCAAAGGAAAAGTGGTACAAATGGTAAAAAACGGTGGAAAATAAAAAGATGCTAGGTTAGCTTGCTGGCTAGCTAGGTTAACTCCTTAGCTGAGTGCCCTGCTTTGTTCTGGATGTATTCGGCAGGCTAAGTTAGCCGAACTCGGCTTGAAAATAGCGTCTTAACGTGGTAACTACTTAGCACGACGTGTCATTAGTTCTCCGGCTGTACATTGCGGGTTAGTAGTAAGTTGAAGTCGATTATTTTCTAAATTTACCGAGGACCGAGTGTACTTAGCTGGGTTAGCTCAGCTAAGGTTACTTAACGTTGGTTAGCTCCGGGACCTGCTAGCTAAACAGCTAGCTAACGTCATTTAGTTGAGTTAGCTGGTTCCGCTATGATATCTCGCGACATGATACGAGTTATAAGTGTCATTTTTCAGCTTTGACTAATATCTACATCAGTGTGACAATACAGAAAGCTTGGCTAGCTGTTCTTTCGTTTACAGAACAGGAACCAGTCGCTAGCTGTCATTAGCTACAGGTTAGATCTGGACGTTTAGCTGTTGCGTTAGCTGGACGTTGAAGAAGTTCCTCCCTTTAGACTTCCACTTGAGTAAAAGTACAAAAGTGTGCCTTCAAATGGACTTAAGTATCGAAAGTGAAAGTACTAAAAGATTAATTATGGCTTTAATGTCCTGTTATCATTTTTGTAACAAGACTCTGCTTCTTTAACTCATTTTAGTTGTAAATACTCCAGTGTCTCTCTTGGTAAACAAATCTTTTTAATAGAATGTCATTATTTAGTCTGACGCTGATGTCCATTAACATTATCATAAGCACAAAACACTGAAGGCAATCAATTTCCATTAGGTAGAACTGAGTGGCTCTGAAATCACTTTTTTTGCAAAGATTTATTTGCAACTTAGTTACAAGTTTGTTGAATGAAAACTTTAAACTCAGGTAGTGGAGTAAAAAGTAAGATATTTGACTTTGAAATGTTGTGGAATGAAAGAGAAAAGTCGCCCAAAATGGAAATACTTCTGTAAAGTACAGATACACGAAAAAACTACTTAAGTACAGAAACGAATTACATTTACTTAGTTACTGTCCACCACTGGTGACGTCTGAGGAGTTTAATGTCTCTAAGTGCTCCCTCGCATAAAGTTATTACAGGACATGGTTATGAATGCACAGCCTGATGTCTGAAACACTGTTTTACGGTGATTTTTGGTCTTAAATGTATTCTACTTAATTTAAGACATTCATAGTGGAAGGATACAGGAAAGGTGTACTAAGGCAAGACGGTCCCCAAAGAAAGCTTTTTTTTTCTCAGATTGACAACTATTTTACTATCCGCACCATTAAAGGTAAAAATGACATGTAGGTTCACTGGTGGGTTTTGATAAAGAATAAACTGGCTATATTTCTGATGATGTAGACATTGGGACCCTTTGTTCCCATCATCACCACCACTGTAAAGATTTTATAAGAAATCTGAATTGGTACATTTGTCTACTTCACATCAAACCACTCTGAATGACTTTACTTACATCTTAAAAGCACTGAACTATCCAGAATTTTTGAAAAATGAATGGAATTACTTTAAGTCTGTGCCATGATGAATAGGGCTAGCTAAATATAAAGTCATTTCTTCTTGTGCTTCCAGCAGCTGTTGTTCGCACCCTGGGTTTGTTGGAGACGGTGAGAAGCTTGATCGGTGTGCTTGCCATCAATGTGTGCTTTCCATCCTACATGAGAGCTTCATTTTTCTAACCGCAGCACACAATATGAGTAACTTGGTGAGTAGTTTTATGCATTTATGCTCTGGAGCATAAAATGAGTGTCATTGATTTCGCATAAGAGCCCAAGTCTTTAGGCCAGAGTCCTGTACAGTTAGGTGTAACACACCTGCTAAACTGTATCATTAACACCAATAGGGTTCTTTTGCTGATCTTGAATAGTATGGAGTTTATACATGCTCACAGATCTCATAAACTGTGGAAAATCTGAATATAGTTCTCATTTTTTGAGAAATGAAGTCCTGTTCATCAAGTAATATCAATTTATAAAGGTTTTAAACCAGTGGTCAAGAGCCCTCCTCCTGGAGATCTACTTTCAAGCAGAGTTCAGTTTCAATCTGAGTCTAAAATGATGCCTCCTCCTTATCTAGCACTAATGTATCTGATGCTGCCCTCTAGTCCTGTCGGAAATATCGTATTTACGACATGAGCGCACATGAACGCCACCACAATGTAGTATTTATTAGTGGGAAACTGGGATTTTTCAGTGAGCCCTGAGTTTCCGAGTTGGGCACGTGTCAACGAAAGAGTAATCATAGCTGCTGATAAACTGGCTATATTTCAGTTACTAACCTCTTATTCTCCAGGGTATATTTTGGTTTTTCCATCTGAATTTACATGACCAAATCGGAAGGCAAATTATTCAGTAACTGCATGAAATAAATGTAAATTTTTTTTTTATTTTTAGTAAAAGCTCCCCTCAAATTAACAGAGTATTTTATGATCATGCACATAATGATTTATGCTTACAATTTACTGCTGAAAGCCAAAAATCTTAGACGCTCTGTGTATTATTTTATAAAAATAATTTTTACAGAGCAGATCACTGAAGAGACGCCATCTGTTTATAGTTTATAGCCCAGATTTGTGGAAAAATGGATCGACTTTCAGTAGAAAAAAAAATTGTGAGTTCAGCTTCTTTTATTATAAGGGTTTAGAATTACATCACCCATCTATTTGACTGGAAAGAAGACAGTTACAGCTCTCATACGACCCCCACCTTTCTGAATGTAGCTTATAAAATATGAAAGTTATGAAGAATATGACGAAGTGCGTTTTGGAACCACCGGTGGTCTCAAGGAGTTGAGGCGGTTAATCAGCCACATCCTTCACACTGCAGGCTGAAACCATCCACACATAGAAGTACAGATATAAGCACATGTTATGTGATAATCTAACTGCATAAAAACATTACTCTTCTCGTCAGCCTCTGTTCTTCACTCTGTTGCAGTAACACAAAATACACAGACTCTTTTTAATGACAGAAAAACAAAAGTAAACCAAAAATATTATCTCCAGTATATCTGTCTCATTTCCAGCCAAAACCACATGAACACAAATCAAGTCATACTTACGAGCTCCGAAGTCGTAAGTAGGAACATCCGAGGTGGACGTGAAGGCAGCATGATTCAGCCAATCAAGATCGACTGAAGTTGTTAATTACGTGGAGCAGGTGTGGCGGATTGGTTGGGATTACACCCTGCTGGAGGGCAGATCTGTAGGACCAGGTTTGGTGACCACTGTTCTAAACTTTAGAACTGAAAAATAATAATAATAATAATAAAAAACAGTCTGTAGATGTTTTCTTATGCTCTGTTCTCCCTAAAGCATATTGTCCTTTTTCGTGGTACACTTAATCACCAGCAGTGAACCAGGAGTGGTGGGTTCAGGAAAAACACAAGAAGGTGCAGTGAGATACTTGAGGACCAGCACCGGGAAATGCTACTCTCTCTCTCTCTCAGCTCACTTGAAATAAGACTAATGTTGTTTTTTTTATGGATCCTTTTCGTAGACGCAGAGGAAAAGACGGTCCAGTTCCACTTCGTGTTCCCGACGCAATAACAAAAGGACTAGGACTCAGATGTCTCAGACGATCATGGAAACCATTGATGTGATAGAAAGCGACAGACTAAGCAGTGAGTGGGTCTTGACCAGTTATGTTAAATCAACGTATGGCCGCTTTTCCACTATCGAGCTGAACGGTTCTCAGACTCTGGTTTCCATCTATTGTACTGCTAAATCAGAACCAGGAAATACTCAAGAAAACTACAAACGAATGGCTAACTGGTAACAGGCTAGGAGCAACATACATGCCACCCACCACAAACACGTTTGGTTCCGTCTGTCACTCCAGCTCCAGTCTCTCTCAGCTTTGTTCTCATCTTGTTTATCCTTTAAATAGGTGTTATTTGAGCACCTGCTAATGAAACGGCCTGTATTGCGGTGGGTATGACCCGTAGCCAGATAACTACATTAGCATCGCCTGGCAGGGTACAAATCAAAGCACCACAGAGCAATTCTGTTTATCTTTCTGCCACGTCAACACCAGTCATTCAAATTTGTGCTCTCAGATATGAGTCTTTATCCTCTAAACGGGTGTTTTTAAGCATCGGTTCCCTATAACCGAGCCCGTACTGCAGTGGGAGGAACCTTGCACGCGCGTTAGCTTAGCCTAGCAGGCTACAGCTTAAAACACTAACAGAACAGGTCTAATTTCAGCTTTCTGTCTCTCCAACACCGATCAGTCGACTTTGCTCTCGCTATTATAAGTTTTTATCATCTATACTTGTGATAGCAGAGCAGTTAGTCGAATCAAACCTGCACTGTGGTGTTCGGATCTCTTTAGCTAAGTTAGCTAAGAGAGAAAAGCTGGCTAGCATTAGTTTAGCTAAGAGGCTCCAGCTTCACCAGAGAAGAGGTTCATTTCAGCTTTCTGTCCCTCTAACATCAGCCACTCGACTTGGCTTCCTCAGATTTGAGTCATTCATCTAAATGTGTGTCAGTAAAGTTTTTGTTAGTCAGAATCAAATCTGTTCTGTGGTGAACAGCGCTGGCAGCATGTTAGCTAAGCTAACGCTAACCCTCTTCTCTCTTAGCTGGTTAGGCGGCGCATTTAACATTTAGAAATTGGTTTTAGATTGAAGCTTTGATGTTTATTGAATGATGAATTTAAAATCGTACAATGCTTTTATTTATTTGATCAAACTGAACTTATTTGAATGCTTTCGGGGTTGAAATAGCACAGAAGGATATTGTGGCTCAATACCAATATAAACGTAGAACCAATCAGCGAACAGCTGTGTCGTTCCATCATCCCACCAAACGGTTCTGTGGCCCCGTGTACGGTTAGCTAAATGTGCCAAACACTGTTTTAAGCGTTCCGCATCAAACTGTGTCCATGTGGAAATGCCACTGGAACAGTTACCCTCTGTACTCAGAACCGTTCTGCCCTGAAGTGGAAAAGAGGCCTATGAGTTCCCTGACATTTCAAATTTCATACTCACAAACTTCAGAGAGAAGAGCAAAATAAAGCATTAGGCATTTTGTCAATGTTCACTTTCCTTTTCCCTGTCGTTTTTTGCCTTTTCTGTCTTTCTTTTATGAAGGTGAAGAGGTAGTAGACTTAACCTGTGAAGGATCAGAGCCAGCTGTGGTTGACCTCACCAATAATGACTCTGTTGTGGTTAGTTCTTACTGTTTTTTTTAATCTCTACCAATTGAAAATAATTATGCTGACAGTTATTTTCTCTGACAAGAGAAGCCCCCTTTTCCTTCAGCACCCTTGGTTGTGTTGTACTTGATATTTTGGAAATTGTTTCATGTGTTTTACCCCCTTCTTTCTTTCTTATTTCCGGGCTAATTAATGTCTCATCGCTTTGTGGAAATCAGCTTGTGGAGGAAGGTAATTAATCACCTTGTCACTGTTTTAATGGCACGATATGTAGGACTTTTGTCACTCGCTGCTTTTTACCCTTTGCTAGTATAGGAAAAAGCCAGCATTAAACGGTAGTAGATGTCCAGTTGCTTTTAACATCAAAACCACCTCCTTGTTGCTACACTTACTGTCCATTTTATCAGCTCCACTGACCATATAGGTGCACTTTGTAGTTCTGCAATTACAGACTGTAGTCCATCTGTTTCTCTGTATACTTTGTTAGCCCCCTTTTACCCCCCTAAAGAGCAGGTATTATTTGGGACACTGAGGTGGTGGTGGTGTGTAAGTGTTTGTTGTGCTGGTGCAAGTGGATCAGACACAGCAGTGCTGCTTGAGATTTTAACACTCACTATCTACTCTGACACTGCTACCTTGTCAGTCCACCTTGTAGATGTAAGTCAGAGATGGTAGCTCATCTGCTGCACAGTTTGTTAGTCATTCTCCAGTCCTTCATCAGTGGTCAGAGGACGCTGCCCACAGGGTGACGGGGGGGCTAACAAAGTATGCAGAGAAACAGATGGACTACAGTCTGTAACTGTAGAACTACAAAGTGCTGGATTGTAAGTGAAGCTATTAAAATGGACAATGGGCCTCATTCACTAACTGTTCTTAAGAAAACACTTAGGAAGATATCAGTGAATGAGGCCCAATGAGTATAGAAAAGGAGGTGGTTTTAATGTGATGGTTGATCTGTATGTGCGTGTTTTTCCCATCTTTTGTAGAAATATTTAAAAGCTCTTTCATTGTTTTTCCTAGGTACACAGAGCAGACGTGCACAGGGCACAGAGAGTTACGTTTTGAGCAGTGATGAGGAGGAAGAGCCGAGTCTAAGTCTCAGTCCTGCTTTACTGTCGTCGCTACGTGCTAGTAGCAGAGCCAGGTAAACCTCTTGCGATATCGGGATGAAGTTACAAAGGTGTCTTCTGCTTCAGAATCACCTCTAATGCCTCAATAACATGATTTAGTAATAGATGTTTCTCCTCCTATGTACAGTGTCTGCCCAAAAGTTTGTAGACACTTGCTCGTCCAGCATTTCTTCTGAAATTAACGATAATAATGGCGAGTTTGTCCCCTTTTTGCTACGATAATGACTACTTGGGAGGCTTTGCACTAGCTGTTTGAACAGGGCTGTGAAGAGCATTACTAAAGTCAGGTACTGATGTTGGATGATCAGTTCTGGAACACCACTTCAGCTTCTCACAAAGCCGTTAAGTGGAGCTTCATGGAGAGTCTACAAGCTCTAGTCGAACCCCTGTGTCAGTAGTTCAGTGTGTCCCAATTCAGGGGCCGGATCCTATGAAGGCGTGTCCTTCGAAGGCTGCTTAGCCCGCGAAGGCTGAACCGAAATGAGACGGTCTGCTCTACAACATTAGATTTTCTGCTTGCGTCACAGCACTGCTGTTCCCACCCTCACTGTTGCGCCACAAAACACCGTTCTTGTCAAGTTCTTTAAAGATGGAGCTAGAAATTTGATTTTAATTGTTTATTTTTTTCATTTATTAGAGCTGGATATGCTTTACCGCCGGCTACTGATGAGATTTTTTTTTTTTTTTAACGTGTCATTAGCCATTCCCCTCAGTTTAAACCATGTTCTCGAATCCTCACCGGTACACAGTGAACCTCAGGATATGTTGGCTGGCGAAGGATGCACCTGTTGTTCCTTCGTTGCCATGGAAACGGACACATTTCTCTGCCGCATATGAAGCAGCCTTCAAAATGGGACAGTCTAGTCGCGCCACTGTGACGCAATCGGCCTTCAAACGCAGCCTCTGAAGGAGGCAGCCCCTGAACTGAGACACACGGACTGTGTTCACTGATAAGAGGTGTCTACCAACTTTGGGACACACAGCATAGCTTCTTGCCTTAACACTCATTGTAGTGGAGTTTGAGTATGCTGCATATAATTAGAGAAATCTAATTTAACTGATTGTCCAGTTACCCCATGCAGTCGAGAGTCCAAGTCTAGATTTTGCTTCGTACCCTTAGAACTGGAGTTGCTAAGCTAATGTTGCTAACAAACAGTTGAAGTCAATAGTCTCCCAAACTGTTTGCCTGAATAAATGCCCAAAACTTTGCTCGACCTGCTCAAACTGTGTCCCTGTCTTAATACAGGTCACAGAGACAAGTTGATGTAGTTTAGGACACAGTATGCCTCACTATGAACTATGGCAAAGGACATTTTAATGAAAGCCATCTTCATCCTTGTCTTCCTAAAGCTACATAAACCGATCAGGCATAACTTTATGACCACCTCCTTGTTTCTACGCTCATTGTCCATTTTATCAGCTCCACTTACTATATAGGTGCACTTTGTAGTTCTACAGTTACAGACTGTAGTCCATCTGTTTCTCTGCATGTTAGCCCCCTTTTACCCTGTTCTTCAGTGGTCAGGACCCCCATGGACCCTCACAGAGCAGGTAGTATTTTGGGGATCATCTCAGCACTGCGTGCACTGTACGTGTGTGTTGTGCTGGCACGAATGGATCAGACACAGCAGTGCTGCTGGAGTTTTTAAACACGTGTCCACTCACTGTCCACTCTATTAGACACTCCTATCTTGTCAGTCCACCTTGTAGATGTAAAGTCAGAGACGATAGCTCATCTGCTGCTGCACAGTTTGTGTTGGTCATCCTCTAGTCCCTCATCAGTGGTCACAGGACGCTGCCCACAGGACGCTGTTGGCTGGATATTTTTGGTTGGTGGACTATTCTCAGTCCAGCAGTGACACGGAGGTGTTTAAAAACTCCAGCAGCACTGCTGTGTCTGATCCACTCAGACCAGCGCAACACACACTAACACCACCACCACCACGTCAGTGTTACTGCAGTGCTGAGAATGACCCACCACCCAAATAGTACCTGCTCTGTGAGGGTCCATGGGGGTCCTGACCACTGAAGAACAGGGTAAAAGGGGGCTAACATGCAGAGAAACAGATGGACTACAGTCTGTAACTGTAGAACTACAAAGTGCACCTATATAGTAAGTGGAGCTGATAAAATGGACAATGAGCGTAGAAACAAGGAGGTGGTCATGTCATGCCTGATCGGTGTATATCATGAGAGGTTTTTATAAGTAAGTAAGCCCAACAAAAAATGGAGAAAAAATAACAATGCTTACTTTGAATTAATTTCTTTGAGGTATCGTCTGTAAATTGGACTTCGTACAGCTGTAGTTTCACAACACACCTCTGCACTCCAGCCTCCCACAGTTTGCATCCCACACTTGCATTGTTTTTCTTTTTTTGCCATTGCTTTTGTATTGTTCAGTTGACTCATGGTCAAAATGAAACCAGAACCCATGCCATGTCAATGATTGGTGTGCTGTCATTTACAGGTCTACACCAGGAGCTGTTAGCTGCCCTGTGTGCATGGATGCTTATGCAGAGGTAAAACTTATATATACTGCCTATGTGAGCTATATATTGTGTGAAGCTGCATTAGCCATATACAATGGTTGTCTATGCGCTGAACTCTTCACCAATCTTCCCATAGATCATCGAGAGTGGCCGACTCATGGTGTCCACCAAATGTGGCCACCTCTTCTGCAGTCAGTGCATCCGCGACTCCCTGGCCCGAGCTCACTCGTGTCCCACCTGCAGAAAGAAACTCACTCACAGGCAATATCACCCTATTTACATCTGACATGTCGAGGGAAGATGTACTTTAACTGACCTATGTGATCTGACCAGCGCACTTTCAGAACCCGTTTGTATGTCTCTGCCAAACTGCTTATTTAAAGGCTCTTGTGAAGCATCACCTGGACCTTGTAGTTTCATTGACTGTATTAGTGGTTTAATAGCTCAATGCCAACAAAAAAAAAATCCACCTTTTCAAGAAGAATAAGACTCCAGGAGCAAAAGGAGGCCATGTCCTTGCTGAAGGATTGTTTTTCACACAGTCCATATTTAAGCTGCACTTACATTTAGGCATTTGGTTATTCTGTTTAGAAATGGGTTCCTAATACGCTATCAAGAATTTTCTTCAGGAATCAAGAGACTATACTGAATTAGTTTTGGGAGGAAAGCAGGATACTGCTGAGTCTGCCCATGTCAGTTTACTACTCATGTCTAGCTGTCACATTTAGGGCTGGTTTTCCAGACATGGATTAGCCATGGTCTCGGGCTCAGATGCAGTGTCAGTGGTGAATCATTATTGAAAATTCTGGCTTAGGCTTAATCTGAGTCTGGGAAACTGGCCCAAAAGGGTTTAAAATTGGCCATAGATTGTGTGGTTTGGGGCTACATTCCTTTTTAGCTGTCTGAAAAAAACAATTGTGAGCTTTGTTATCCGCTTTTGTAATTGCAAAATGTAATAAATGCGGGTGCAGTTTGGTTTGTTCTTCCCTTTATCCATTAATTGTAAATATGTGTATGTATTTAATGTACAAAGGTTGAGTAAGTTAAGGTCTGTTCCAGTATAATGGTAAACTGAGCTTGTTTCAATAAAATTATGCTATGCTTAGTTGTTGTTGTTGATTAATTGTTGTGGAAAGCCATACAGGATCCTATCAAAGAAAAAGAAAGGCCAAATTAATTTGGAAGGCAGTCTAGTATTCTTGTAGCATTCATAAAACAGTTTTATAATTATTCTCTTGATAATTTGAAAGCAAAATATTGAATGCTGTCCAGCCCCTTTTAGGAAAATATGAAGTAAAAGAAATGTCAGGGTACCTATAGGGTGCTACAATGAATATACTGTGGTTAGTAAACACTGATCAGACATAACATTCTGACCACCTCCTTGTTTCTATACTCATTGTCCATTTTATCAGCTCCACTTACTATATAGGTGCACTTTGTAGTTCTACAGTTACAGACTGTAGTCCATCTGTTTCTCTGCATGTTAGCCCCCTTTTACCCTGTTCTTCAGTGGTCAGGACCCCCATGGACCCTCACAGAGCAGGTAGTATTTGGGTGGTGGATCATTCTCAGCACTGCAGTAACACTGACGTGTGTGTTGTGCTGGCACGAATGGATCAGACACAGCAGTGCTGCTGGAGTTTTTAAACACCCTCCACTCACTGTCCACTCTATTAGACACTCCTATCTTGTCAGTCCACCTTGTAGATGTAAAGTCAGAGACGATAGCTCATCTGCTGCTGCACAGTTTGTGTTGGTCATCCTCTAGTCCCTCATCAGTGGTCACAGGACGCTGCCCACAGGACGCTGTTGGCTGGATATTTTTGGTTGGTGGACTATTCTCAGTCCAGCAGTGACACGGAGGTGTTTAAAAACTCCAGCAGCACTGCTGTGTCTGATCCACTCAGACCAGCGCAACACACACTAACACCACCACCACCACGTCAGTGTTACTGCAGTGCTGAGAATGACCCACCACCCAAATAGTACCTGCTCTGTGAGGGTCCATGGGGGTCCTGACCACTGAAGAACAGGGTAAAAGGGGGCTAACAAAGTATGCAGAGAAACAGATGGACTACAGTCTGTAACTGTAGAACTACAAAGTGCACCTATATAGTAAGTGGAGCTGATAAAATGGACAATGAGCGTAGAAACAAGGAGGTGGTCATGTCATGCCTGATCGGTGTATATCATGAGAGGTTTTTATAAGTAAGTAAGCCCAACAAAAAATGGAGAAAAAATAACAATGCTTACTTTGAATTAATTTCTTTGAGGTATCGTCTGTAAATTGGACTTCGTACAGCTGTAGTTTCACAACACACCTCTGCACTCCAGCCTCCCACAGTTTGCATCCCACACTTGCATTGTTTTTCTTTTTTTGCCATTGCTTTTGTATTGTTCAGTTGACTCATGGTCAAAATGAAACCAGAACCCATGCCATGTCAATGATTGGTGTGCTGTCATTTCCAGGTCTACACCAGGAGCTGTTAGCTGCCCTGTGTGCATGGATGCTTATGCAGAGGTAAAACTTATATATACTGCCTATGTGAGCTATATATTGTGTGAAGCTGCATTAGCCATATACAATGGTTGTCTATGCGCTGAACTCTTCACCAATCTTCCCATAGATCATCGAGAGTGGCCGACTCATGGTGTCCACCAAATGTGGCCACCTCTTCTGCAGTCAGTGCATCCGCGACTCCCTGGCCCGAGCTCACTCGTGTCCCACCTGCAGAAAGAAACTCACTCACAGGCAATATCACCCTATTTACATCTGACATGTCGAGGGAAGATGTACTTTAACTGACCTATGTGATCTGACCAGCGCACTTTCAGAACCCGTTTGTATGTCTCTGCCAAACTGCTTATTTAAAGGCTCTTGTGAAGCATCACCTGGACCTTGTAGTTTCATTGACTGTATTAGTGGTTTAATAGCTCAATGCCAACAAAAAAAAAATCCACCTTTTCAAGAAGAATAAGACTCCAGGAGCAAAAGGAGGCCATGTCCTTGCTGAAGGATTGTTTTTCACACAGTCCATATTTAAGCTGCACTTACATTTAGGCATTTGGTTATTCTGTTTAGAAATGGGTTCCTAATACGCTATCAAGAATTTTCTTCAGGAATCAAGAGACTATACTGAATTAGTTTTGGGAGGAAAGCAGGATACTGCTGAGTCTGCCCATGTCAGTTTACTACTCATGTCTAGCTGTCACATTTAGGGCTGGTTTTCCAGACATGGATTAGCCATGGTCTCGGGCTCAGATGCAGTGTCAGTGGTGAATCACTATTGAAAATTCTTGCTTAGGCTTAATCTAAGTCTGGGAAACTGGCCCAAAAGGGTTTAAAATTGGCCATAGATTGTGTGGTTTGGGGCTACATTCCTTTTTAGCTGTCTGAAAAAAACAATTGTGAGCTTTGTTATCCGCTTTTGTAATTGCAAAATGTAATAAATGCGGGTGCAGTTTGGTTTGTTCTTCCCTTTATCCATTAATTGTAAATATGTGTATGTATTTAATGTACAAAGGTTGAGTAAGTTAAGGTCTGTTCCAGTATAATGGTAAACTGAGCTTGTTTCAATAAAATTATGCTATGCTTAGTTGTTGTTGTTGATTAATTGTTGTGGAAAGCCATACAGGATCCTATCAAAGAAAAAGAAAGGCCAAATTAATTTGGAAGGCAGTCTAGTATTCTTGTAGCATTCATAAAACAGTTTTATAATTATTCTTTTGATAATTTGAAAGCAAAATATTGAATGCTATCCAGCCCCTTTTAGGAAAATATGAAGTAAAAGAAATGTCAGGGTACCTATAGGGTGCTACAATGAATATACTGTGGTTAGTAAACACTGATCAGACATAACATTCTGACCACCTCCTTGTTTCTATACTCATTGTCCATTTTATCAGCTCCACTTACTATATAGGTGCACTTTGTAATTCTACAGTTACAGACTGTAGTCCATCTGTTTCTCTGCATACTTTGTTAGCCCCCTTTTACCCTGTTCTTCAGTGGTCAGGACCCCCATGGACCCTCACAGAGCAGGTATTGTTTGGGTGGTGGGTCATTCTCAGCACTGCAGTAAGACTGACGTGGTGGTGGTGTGTTAGTGTGTGTTGTGCTGGTCTGAGTGGATCAGACACAGCAGTGCTGCTGGAGTTTTTAAACACCTCAGTGTCACTGCTGGACTGAGAATAGTCCACCAACCAAAAATATCCAGCCAACAGCGTCCTTTGGGCAGCGTCCTGTGACCACTGATGAAGGACTAGAGGATGACCAACACAAACTGTGCAGCAGCAGATGAGCTATCGTCTCTGACTTTACATCTACAAGGTGGACTGACAAGGTAGGAGTGTCTAATAGAGTGGACAGTGAGTGGACACAGTGTTTTAAAACTCCAGCAGCACTGCTGTGTCTGATCCACTCAGACCAGCACAACACACACTAACACACCACCACCACGTCAGTCTTACTGCAGTGCCGAGAATGACCCACCACCCAAGTAATACCTGCTCTGTGACGGTCCATGGGGGTCCTGACCACTGAAGAACAGGGTAAAAGGGGGCTAACAAAGTATGCAGAGAAACAGATGGACTACAGTCTGTAACTGTAGAATTACAAAGTGCACCTATATAGTAAGTGGAGCTGATAAAATGGACAATGAGCGTAGAAACAAGGAGGTGGTCATAATGTTATGGCTGATCGGTGTAAATTCAAGCATGTTATGGATGTTTGTGTCGTTATTTAGGAGAACCGCTAGATGGCAGTATGTGTAAAAATAAGCACTGAGAAGTTGAGTCTTCAGTCATTGGTTGTCATGAGCGGAGCTGAACATGCTTCATCTTTTTTAGTGGATTTACTCAAATATCTTCTCGTTTTATGTAACTTTATCTAACTTTGAAGTACAGAGTTTAAAAAAGCAATGCATGTTTATTCAGACCGAATGTTTACATTAATGCTCTGCAGTTTAAGGGGAATTACAGCGACTTCTCAAAATTTCATTTAAATGTTGAGATATAAACGAAGTCATTCAGAGTGGTTTAATGTGAAACGGTTCATTGAGGAGATGCGCACTCGAATGTCTTTACAGTGGTGATGGGAACCAGACGTCGCAATGTTTATGATATACATACAGCCGCTTTATGGACTATCGAAATGGCCAGTGACCAGCATGCGTGACTTCTGAGTTATATATATAATGTGTGTGTGTGTGTGTGTGTGTGTGTGTATATATATATATATATATATATATCCTGAGGACCTCTCTGCCTTGAATGGATCCAGAAAACACAATGGCCTGTAAGCAATGTCTTTGTCTTTTTAAAGCAATGTACCTTCCTGTAAGGGGAGCTATTAGAGGCATTCGATTCAGACGTCTGGTTCCCATCACCACCACTGTGAACGATTCTTACCAGTTTCTCACATCAAAGCACTGTGAATTACTTTGTTTACATCGAAACCGTTTAATTAAGTAGAATAACTACTATAAAACAAATGGACGGTGTTCCCCTTTAATGTAACTGTGTAAAATTCTACAGAATATTAATTTGATTTTAATTAAAATGAATGTATGACCTCAGTGCTCATTCTGTGTACGTAGAATGGATGTTTTCTACATGTGAAGTAATAAAATGCACCCAGTTCTGATCATTTTTGGTGGGTAATGAGGAAGATAACCTGCAAATATTATTTTGTGTTAATGAACATCGACTTTTTGGACAATATTGCTTTATTTATTTACTTACTTACTTGACAAAGCATTTATGGCTCACTCAGCAGCTGTGCTTCACTGCTTCAGCCCAACAACCAAAACATCTGGCTTCATACATCGTCCTACTATTTCTAGCTGCCGCTGGTCATTTCCACGCACAAAGAAATGTGTATTATATGCAATACAGTGTATATACAGTGGACGCAATGCGGGCCGCAGCAGCGCGTATTTATGGCTGTTCTTATTGGCGATGCATCTGGATATCAACACAGTCTACTACTGAGGGGAACGCGTTTGTAAGAAAGCTGCGCTCTGATTGGTCAGAAGTTGGCCGAGGGGCGGGGCTGGTGTAGCGGAGTGTGCGGCGCTGCTGTTCGGCTAAATCCCGAGCTAACGGCGCGGCGCGGTGCGGGCGGCGAGTTTGAACAAACACCGCTAATTTCTACAGTCCTCCAGGTTGGGCGGAGTGCAGGCGCGATACCGAAGCTCTTACGAAGCCGTCCGAGGGAGGAATATCGACGAGTATTGCGCTGCGAGTGAACTGCGGGAGTCCGCAGGCTGCGGTCCGGTCCGGGGTGGACTGTCATCCACAGACTGGTTCATTTACTGTACCTCGATAACGTCCTCCGGAGAGCGAGCTGCACTGGGGGAAAGGGGCTGTTTACCACTCGACTAACACTGAAGGAGACCGTCCCGGTTCGTGTTGTGTGGATTATTATTATCATTTTTAGTCATTGGTCGGATTCCGGAGGCTGCTGTCAGTGTAAATAGGCTGAAGTTCACTCGTCTGGGGCTTTGGAGGATGTAAGCATGGTCGTTCTGTCAGTGGAGAAGAAATTCAGGATTTTTCTCAACTGTTGGTAAGTTAAGCCTGTGCTTTGTGGTCTTCTGCACAGTATTATTTCAGTATGATTTCACTTTATTGCTTTTATTTATTTAGAATAAGGAGCAATAATGAAGTTATACAGTGTTATACGGGCATATTTAGTGTATACAGGTAGACCAAATATGCTTATTAGGCTGTTTTTGTTGACTGAAAGGAAGAACCCCTTCCAGGCTGCTGAAACAGTGGAGAAACTGTTTTCATCCTCTCAGATGTTCAATATGTTGAATGATTAACAGCTTGTTTTATTGTTACTGGTTACAAGACTGTAATTTTGTTACAGATTTCCTCAGTGCCTTGACCTTCCTCCAAGGGAAAAGTGTGTTAGAAATTATGAAATTGAGCTATAACTGGTCTTATGTTTACCCTCTATTAACAAGAGTTCAAGCTTTCTTTACTTACCGAGGACTTGTTTCTGGTTTCCCCTACAGATTCGAGCAGCAGAGGCCTTTTCTGTATTTTAAAGAATCATGGAACTTATATGGATTGTTTTTGTCCTTTTTGACATCATTTTCGTGACGGACTGTGCTCGGGGTGAGTAGAAGAGCTGTTTTTGTGTTAAGTGTCTGGGCTAATAAATGGTGAATAGAGTAGCTGGAGACAAAACAGGCCAAGGCGTCGCTGCCAAAATCTATTACACAACATATCGTAACTTAACACACAGTCTTTTTTAAAATTCATAAAACATGACTGCATTTAATTTAACCCTTTGGCCAAATTTTAGCACATGTCTGTCTGCATAGTGGGACTTTCAACCTCAGATCTCAATGCTTATTGTGCGGCTTTTCAGGTGGAGTTGTTGTAGGACGACTTGGGTCAAATTAGTTCGGATTACCACAATGCAATGAGAATTTCTTCAAATTCACTTCACATAAATGTCATTGTTGTGTGCCTGTGGACAGAAAATAGGCCAGGACTCAAACGTGAGCAGTTAGTTTTGCATTGAAGTGAATACCTGCAGCGTTTTGTGCAATGTTTAGTCTGTTTTTTAAGTCTGAAATTGCCTCATTTTAGCAACATATAAGTCACTTTTCTGTTACCAACCACTTAAATTGGTTCTGGGGGCTTGAAAAGGACCCTTAGACCTCAAAGGATAAACATATACAGCAGAGAGACGTTTTGTTTCCCGAGTCTCCTTCATCCCAGCCAGTGTGCTGCATTTGAAATTCAACCGGCCCACAACCCTTGAACCTTTCTCTTGAGTTCAGGACCAGGTTTGGAGCGTGAGACCTCTAAAAGCCTGTCCTCTGGCTTTGTTTCGCTGAATGCGATCCTCTCGCATTAGCCGCTCTCCGGCCTTCCTCTTTCTCGGCCCCCCGAAATGAGCCGCTGTTTTCCATTGAATGCAGCGGCTGAATGCAGGCCCAGGCCGCTGATGGGGGAGCAGATAGCACAGCTCACTGACTCCACTCCATCAGGGCTGCAGGTGAAGCGTGAGCTAGTGGAGTCTCCCTTTTGCCCTTAGCATACGCCTCAGACTCAACAGCCTGTCGCCGAGACTAGCAGAGGAAGGATGGTTGGTGGGTGGGAGGGTGGAGGGGTTGGTTTTGGGGAGGGGAGGTGGGGGAGGGAGTCACAGGAAAGGGCGGAAGAGAAGAGAGCGGCATCCGAGCAGAAGATTGCATCTGCCAGGGGGGCCCCGGAACAATGTGGCATTCACGGTCACATAGCCGCGGCCTTCACCGAGACGCTTAGCCTAAAGTAAACAAAAATGCCGCAAGCAATGCGATTAGATTAAGCAATTATGTTTGTTTGCGGCCATGCGGGGCTGCAGGTTTCCAGGCTTGTAAATCAGTGGCGGCGACTTGCTGCCTCGATTGTATCAGGACACGTACCCGTGGGCCAGTTTGATATGTTACACTTGATAGGGAGAAAGAAAAAAAAAGGGGGGAAACGAGACAAAAGTCTGTCTGTTTATCACTCCAAAGCCTGGCCAAATGGCGGTCATGTTACCCTGGGAATCAGATATTAAGAGAGCGCAGTCTCTTGCGTTCCGGAGTCGAGAGATTCAGCGAGCGAGTAGCTTGGCTCCCCTTCGCCCTTTCATTGGATGCTGCAGTTTCATAATGGACCTTGTTGCTTGGTAGCACCAATGTTGTCAGCTGTTTACTTGCATTTGTCAAAGTCTCAAACAAGGGATCTTAGAAGGAGATATTTATGGATCCACTGCTGTCTCCCTAAAAAGGCTACGACTCTGATTAAGCATGACTGTTTGAAGATAAGCTGAACTTAGAAGATCGTGGAGTAAAAAAGGTGCCACAACAGGTTCTTTTAGTGAAGCCGTAGAACAGTGGGTGTCCAAAGTCCGGCCCCAGGGCCAAATGCAGCCCACAGACAGATTTTAACCTGCCCCTGTTTCTGAAAACTGACGATTTAGGTGAGATGGATAATGTCTGATCACAGCAAATTCAGTAGTTCAGTAAATATTAACCCTTTAAGGTTGAACAAAAACACGGCTACACTGTGTTTATTTGATATGTGAAGAACATTAACTGACAAAGCCAAAAATGTATAGTTTTTTGTTTAGTTTGTCTCACCAATTATATTTTTCAACAAGTAAACATGTGAATAGGAATATGATTAATACATTAGACATGTTGTATTAATTTGTTACTTTTAGACGATTTAATTATTTGTTACAAGCGCTTCTTGATCCTAACTGTTCTCACTGAACAATCCAACAATAAAAGAAGCCTCATGCATCTTTTATGCAGTGATAGGAAACACGGCAGCTCACAGAAAGCTCAGATTCTATGCGCTGATATTTTGAAAACTTAATATTTTGAATCACTTTGTCAATAACATGTTGGCCCTCAGGACTTTTAACACAGTACAATCTGGCCCTCTTTGAAAAAGGTTTGGACACCCCCGCCATAGAAGAAGCACTTTCGGTTCCCTAAAGAACTACGCTTAAGAAGGAGATGTGTGAAAGGGACGGACCTTTAAAAGGTTTAAAGAACCTTCGCATGCACTCTTAAAAGTGAAAGGGGTTCTCCAAGGGTTGTTTAGTAAAGCCATTGTTTATATTCAGTGGTTCTTTTAGTCACAGAACCATGACAACACAAAGATTTGAAGGTTTAAATGGTTCTTCTCCACGATAGACAACCTGTGCTTTCAAGAAACCTTTAAGAAAGTCTTATTGGTTGCACTAAAAATGGTTCTGTTATTGTTACAAGTCGCAGAACCTTTCTTTGGTACTACATAGACTCTTTTGAAATTACTAAGAGTGTGATCTAAAGGTTCTATATCAATTTAAGTACTCTTCCCAGAACCATTATCGTGTGCAGGTTCTTCAAACTTCAGAAAGGCTCTTTATGCTCATACATTTCTCATTTACATAAATAGTTCTCCAAAGAATCATCCATTGAATTTTTTTTCCTCTTTTTAAGGAACCAAAAGTGGTTCTTCTATAGCATTATGCACCACAGTGTCACATTAATGAGTTACAAAGTTACAAAGAGTATGTTTTATGTAAATACAATTAGGAGAACTTTCTAAGAATTACTGATGTAAATATGCTGATGTAAGCCATTGCTTGGAAGAAGACATTAAAATTAGTCACTACTGTATATGCATGATGTTTTGTGTGTATTACATTATCCATCACTTACTGTACTTGCACCTGAACTGGCCAGCAGTTAATCAGAAAATTCCTCCATCACGTCTGTAGCAGTTTTGGCTTAAATCATTCACCAGACTTGGCAGCCCGGCGAGTCGGGACTGCAAATAGCCATCATCAGCCCAAATAGGTGACTTTATTGCAAAGTGCTGTACTGAGGATTGATTGAGTCGTTACTCTTCGGTCTCCGCTACATAGGGACTGCAGATGACTAATATTTTCCGTTTGCTTGCGGAAGTGTGGTTAGCATGCGGCTGCCAGAGAGGCACACGGAATCGTTCGGCTTACGCAACGCTTCCGGGCCTGAGCATCTTCAAGCGGACGATTTAGAGTCTGACTCCATCCACTGGCCGTTCCAGCTCGTGTGATTGCCGTGTTTTCCTGTGTGCTGTGTTTATGAAAAGCCAAGTAAGTCACTTCTGGCCCTGTAGCCAAAGTTTAACAGTCCCACATGGAATTTGAGCAATTTGTTCACATAATAATAAACTGAGTGTGTTTTTTTTAAGAAGCAAAGTTTGCAGAGCATGAATGGATGTCATTGTTTGTAAGATGCTGAAAAAATGTGCTGGGAAAAAAGAGCGCTCTAAGCATATACATGGACAGAGATTTGGGACAGTATTGGTTATTTATTCACAATAACTTCAGCTTTAGAAAGTTTAATTGACTTCAGAAAGTTTCATGTAAAACAATTTGTGCCAGTTGTTCACTGTTAAAATCGATGTTCAGTGGGATTTCAAAAAAGAGCGATTGTTGTAAATAAGATGAGTGAAGAATCGTTTTGAAGTTAAAAGGACCTTGAAAAAAGATGATTCTTCAAGGGTTCTTTGGTAAAGGCAATGGTTCTGTCTAAAACCATGAGGTCTGTGTAGAACCACTTCGTCCTTAATGGTTCTTTGGTGAAATGGTTCTTCTGATTGTTGGAGAATGTGTTGTATTTCGCTGCTGTATTTCGCTCCATTTTTGTCAATTTAACGTTTTTCAGTTTTTGACATCTGAAAATGCCTGTTGCTCTTTACATTGTGTGTAAATTTCATGAAGAATGGACCTAAAGAAACGGCCCAAAATCACTTGGAGAGACGTCTGGTTCCTTTGACTTACATTAAAAGTGAAGCATGTTTTTTCCTTCTCCTGTAAAGTTACCATTTTGGAGATACGAGGTTTTGCTCCGACAGCAGCGATATGGTTTTACATATAATCTTATTGAAAATGGTTCTGTATAGCACCTGAAAGGGTTCTGCTATTGTGACGATGTCAGGCGTTTAACAATAGAAAACCCCTTTTTGGTGCTATATAGAACCATTTTTAACAGGGTTCTTTACAGAACCATGTACAACACATTCTAAATCAAATCTGAAGAGCCATTTCACATTCGGTGCATTCAGTGATGTAGAGGTCTGGACTCTGGGGTTCTGAGGTCACCAGGCTGGTCCTCTCAGTAATGGCTTTTCAGCAGCTACACATCCTTTCAGACCTATAGAGTTTCAGATCTGAAGCAAGTGAGGAGCTTGATTTTCTCCTCTTCTTTGAAGATGAAAGTACTGTTTATTTGATGGTGACTGACCGTTTTGGTGGTCTGCCAGGTCTTGCACAGTTGTTTTCCAGTTGCAGAGTATTTTTCTTTAATGTTTAATCATTTTTTTGAGCTCCAGTTTTGGAACCTCCTGTTTTTTTTCCCTTTCACTTCCGCCTTCCTTACGCAAGGGGATTATCTTACATCTAATCTCCTCAGAAATGTCTCCTGAAAAATAAACGGCTTCTACTTAATGGCTGTTATGACTGAAAATTCAGCAAGCGGAGGGCGGTCTCTCTCTTCTGCACCGTATTCTAGAACACGCTGTGTGTCCGTGGGACATTGGAGCACAAGCTAAAGTGTTTGGAGGCGCCTGCTGTTTTGTTTATACTGACGTCGACCACC